TGTTTATGTGCGTGTGCGTGTGTGTGTGTGTGAATTTCAATGACGCGAAATGTTTGATATTGACTTTTAAAACAAAAATTATTATTATTATTATTATTATTATTATTAATATAAAAAATATATATGTGTGTGTTTTTGTAAATATTTGTAAGTAGTTTGTCATTGGCCCATATTCGAACGTGATTTAGTTTAAATTATTATTACTCGGGTGTTACACTGTGGTGGCAGCAGTGGTGGTAGTGGTAGTGAGTGATATTTTAAGCGTGTGTTATTTACCTTCCGCATAATTTTGCTTCAACATGATTTAAATATTTTTTCGGTACCAAAAAAAACCGACAATTTATAATTATTATTATTATTACAAGTGTTTCTATTATTTATGGATGATTTTTAAAGTGATTTGATTTATACAAAATAATTATTTATTTATTTATTTATCGGTAAGTAATTAATTAATTAATTAATTATTTTTCCCCGTACGAAAATTCGAAAGGAAAACGAAAAAGAAAAAAAACTTTTAAAAGTAATTATTATTATTATTATTATTTGTAATTTGACTTGAGTAATTTTTTGCATTAACTTTGCATTGTTTCGACATTTCGAAAAAAAAACATTTCAATTATTATTCCCGTAAAAAAAAATTATTATTACGTAATAAAAGTTTTTTGAAATGTTTTTTATTTTTTTTACCAATGCCACACGTATCGTTACGTAATTTTTTTTTTATTCTTCTTCTTAGCTTACGTTCGAGTTTGATCCCCCTCCCTCCCTCGTCTCCCCCCGCCAAAAAAAAAGTAAAAAAAAATTATTATTACCTTTTTATTTTAATTTTTTTTTGCCCGTTAAAAATTTACCACCGCATTGGTAAATCGAAATAATAATTTACTTACGAAATATTTAAAAAAATCGATAAAAGGTAATGATAATAATAATAATAATAATAGTAATGAAATTTAATTTTAGAGAGAGAGAGAGAGAGAGAGTGTGTGTGAGTTGTGATATAAAAAGTGAGATTGAAAAAAAAAATTTTTTCTTTTTTTTTTTCTTTTTTTCATTACTTGTTGTTAATTTATTTTTTTTAAAAAAGAAAAGAAAAATTAATAATAATAATAATTTGATAAAAAAAGAGAGAAAGAAGAAGAAGAAAAAGAAGGAAAAATGTCGTCGTCGTCTTACGAAAATCATGTCGTGAAATATTTTTCATGGGAAGATTACACTGTTTTTGCTTCAACGCTATTACTCTCGGCGGGAATCGGAGTTTATCACGGTTTTAATTTTAAAAAATGCCGAAAGAAAAATAAACAAAATGATAATAATAATACGGATTATTACAATGGCGGAAACGACGTTTGTGGTGGCGACGGTAGTGAAGATTATGAAAAAAATCCGGAAAAAGAATTTTTAACGGCTGGTGGAAAAATGAATTGGTTTCCGGTTGCTTTATCACTTCTTGCCAGGTGAGTTTTTTAAAAAAAAAAAATACTCGATCGATAATTATCATTATCATTATTACCTACGAGGACGATGACCTTGACTGATAAGCTTAAAATTTCGGATCTTTTTATTTATTTCTTTCATCTTTTTTTTTTGACACTTTCGGTAAAAAAAAAAATAATTAACAACGATGACAAATTAAGATAAAATAAAAATCTTTAACGGATTTTTTTTTCTCAAAGGTCAAAGTAAAGGTCAAGTTCCCCCCTCCCTCCTCCTCCCTCGCTAAGTAATCCTAAATTAATTTTTTTTAAAATTTTATTTAAAGTAGTACAAAATTAAAAAAAAATAAAACGATTCCTTTTTTTCATATATCATTGTCGTTGTCACACTTAAAATTAATAATAATAATAATGATGATAATGATAATAATAATATTGTTAATTTTTAATCATGGATTATTTGTAAAAAAATTGTTTTGTTTATATTAAGATCATACCTGACACACGTAGTTTATGGTTTATCATTGTAAACAAGAGATTACGAAATTAATTTTTTTTTATTAAATAGACTTTTAACGTTTATTATTATTATTATTATTATTTAAATAAAATGAGGTTTACTTGCGTACGTACGTATGTGTAGACAATTTTTAACAAATGAAGAAAAAAAAAATTTTTTTTTATTTATTTACAGTTTTTTATCATCCATAACGATTATGGGTCAACCCGCGGAAGCATATTTATATGGACCTGGCCTTTGGCTCATTGGTATATCATCCATATTTTCCATACCTTTTCTTATTTATTTTCTCATACCGTTTTTTAGAAAATTAAATACGTCGTCTGCTTACGAGGTACACACGTTAAAAAAATCACTAAATGAAATTTAAATTTTTTCTTTAAATAATTTATTATTATTATTATTATTATTATTAGTATTTTGGGCAAAGATATGGTAAACCTTTTCAATTTTGCGCATCGGTTTTTTTCACGATTCAAATGTTATTATTTTTGGCATTGGTTTTATATGCTCCTGCATTGGCATTCAATCAAGGTACATATTATTAAATAATATCATAATACTAGCATAAAAAATATTTTTCTAATTATTATTATTATTATTTAAGTCAGTGGAATTGACATGAATGCAATTATTGTCGCAATGTATTTCGTTTGTATATTTTACACGACCGTGGTAAGTTAAACAGTTATTTATTTATTTATATAAATATATATATATATATATATATATATATGTATAAACATAGAGAGAGAGAGAGAGAGAGATAGTGTAATTAAGATTATTAGCATTTTAATTAATATGTAAATTTTAAAGGGCGGAATCAAAGCCGTAATTTGGACGGATGCATTTCAAATTTTGATCCTTTACACGGCCGTCACTGCCGTTTTAGTTATGGGAACATTAAATTTAGGAGGTTTTTCCGTTGTTTGGAAAAGGAATACGGAAAATTTTAGAGGAAATTTTTTCGAGTGAGCTTTTTTTTAAATATTATTCTATATATAATAATTTAAAAACTATCCTTTCCCCCCTTCTCGCTTTTTTTTTAGTTTTGATTTCGATCCGACGAAAAGATATAGTTTTTGGGCATCAGTTTTCGGTTGTGCTTTCCTCCATCTTTCATCATTCGGAGCAAATCAATTACAAATACAAAGATATTTAACGGTGCCATCAATGAAAGAAATTAAAAAGTAAGTGACGAGAAAAAAATAAAATTTAAATTATTAAATACACAGGTCAGAGTGTTTTGATTTATGTAGGGGGCTGTCCTTTCCCTCCCCCCTCACCGCGCCCTCCTCCCCACCATAATGTTTCTTAATTAGTTAATTAATGTTTCAATATATAACTCTTTGTAGTATTTTGTACATGAACGTTTTGGGATGGACATTTGTTACAATATTAACAGGTTATGCTGGAATGTTAATTTTTGCTAAATATTACGATTGCGATCCGTTAATGAATAATCAAATAAAATCATATAACGAATTATTTCCGCTTTACGTAATGGACGTTTTGGGAGAATTCAAAGGATTTCCAGGTTTATTTGTTGCCGGAATATTTTCAGCTGGATTAAGGTATGACGTTTAACAAAAAGTTTCCACTTATCGGAAACGATTAAAAAAAAAAAGGGGAAATGAAAAAAATTTCATGTTTTCCATTCGACCTAGCACCATTTGAATAAAATCTATTGAAAGAGATGAAAAACGTTTTCAGTACCGTATCCACTGGAGTGAATTCACTTGCTGCCATTTGGTTTTCCGAACTCGAAGGTACGACATTAAAAAAAAATCTAACACCGAAAAAAAAAGAATATTTTGTTAAAGGACTCGCATTGTTTTTTGGTTTATCTTCATTCGGTTTGGTTTTTATTGTTCCGTACATGGGAAATCTCGTACCCGTAAGAACACATCATTATCATTATTATTATCATCGATATTATTAAAACCTAAAAAAATAATAATAATAAAAAATTTGTCTGTTTCAGATCACCGTATCCATATCTAGTTTTTTTTCCGGTTCGTTTTTTGCACTTTTTTTGCTTGGAATTTTTGTACCTTTCGTTAATCAAATAGTAAGCACGATTTCCTCCTCTCCCCTCTCTCCCCCCTTTCCCCGCAAATTTTATTTTCTAAAATTATTTTTTATGTATCAGGGTGCATTTTCCGGATTGATATGCGGTGTCGGTTTTGTTGGATGGCTTTCAATCGGTGCTCAAATATCATTAGAAAACGGTTACGAAGTTACCGAAACTTTACCCTTATCAATCGAGGGTTGTTCTTCTTCGAATGCAACATTTAACATGACAAATAATTTTGTGTAAGTTATTATTATTATTTTCCAAATGATATACAAAAACTGCGATTTAAAACGATGATAATAATGATAATTTTATATTTTATTATTGTAGAGAAAAAGAAAAAGAATTAGCATTCGTACTTTATAGAATATCATTTATGTGGTATTCGTTTTTATCAATCGTTATCACCGCCATTGTTGGTACGACGGTTAGCGTCGTAACAAATTATTTATTTTCATCATCGTTTAAAACTTTTTCTGTTACCACGGATAAAGATCTTAAAGACGTAAGTAGATTTTTTTTACATAATGTTTCGCTTTTCCCGAGAACGCGCACTCCCCCACCCCCCACCGCGTTACAATAAACTTAAAAAAAAAAAGTAATCGCGTGTTAACGTTTAAAAAATTTTTTAAAAGATTTTTTTTTAGTAGAGAAAACTCCGGGGGGGGGACCGTAAAGGATAGAAGAAGGGAGTGAGGGGGTAGAAGGGTAGATGCGGGAAATTTTGTTTTTTTTTTACCCTTCGTAATAAAATATTTTTATGCTTTGATTATGAGCAATAATTTTCTTGCAAATCATCATCATCATTTTAAATTTTATGTTTTTTCTTTTTTTTTTTTTTTTTTTATAAATTTTCCGAGTTTAAATTTCTTTTCCGATTGATCCTTTTTTTTTTATTTTTATTTTATTTATGACGGTCGGTTAAAGAGAGAGAGAGAGAGAAAGAGAAAAGAATTTATTTTTATGTTTATTTTCGCTTCAATTCACACACACACACACATACACACGCCACCATTATTATTATTATTATTATTTGTATTAAGGGTAAAAAAAAAAAAATTTTACGAGATATTTTTTATATATATAAAAAAAAAACAATCTATTGATTATTATTATTATTATTATTGTTATTTTCTTTCTTTCTGTTTTCAGATACTAAAAATTAAAAATAAAAAAGAAGAAAATTCTGGAACAAATAATCCGACATTTTATCCAGATTAATCTATCCAGACTTTATTTATATATACTTGCAAAGAGATAAATTAGGTTTTTTATTTTATTTTATTTTTTTTTGCCGTTCGCCATTTTCCCGTGCGTTTACCTGTTTTACTCGCCCTCCCCACCCCCACGTTTTTTTTTAAAAAGTTAATTAAATTATTAAAAAATAAATAAAAATAAAAATATAAATAAAAAATGTTTTTTTTCTTACCTTGTTTGCTCCTCGTTTAAAATCCAAAAATTTCCTCCACTTCCTCCGACCGACCGGGTTAATTTTTTTTATATTAATAATAATAATGATAATAATAATAATAATAAAATTTTAACCGCACTGAAAAATTTTATCTATTATTAATAATAAGAAAATTTTTTCCTTCTTTTTTTTTACCCTTTTTTATAGCTCGAATCATAAATTTTTATCTTTTTAACGAAAATTAAAAAAAAAATTATAATTATTATTATTATTATTATCATTTCATAAATAATTTTTATTTAAATAAGTTAATAATGTTATAATTTAATAAATAAATGTTACGTTAAATAAAATAAAAATTAAATTTAAAAAAAAAAAAAAAAAATTGCTGATTCTTTTTATACCACGTTTTTCAAAATAATAAAATTTTTAATAATAATATTAATAATAACAAATTTATTTATTTATTTTATTTATTTATTGACTGACCTTTCGAAAATTATTAACAATATTTCTAAATTCTATTAATTAATTACATAATTATACACAAAATTAAATAATAAGGCACAAGGATTAATACTTTCGGATTTATATCGACAAAATATTTTTAATAATAATAATAATAATAATAATAATAATAATAATAATAATTTAAGGCCATTAATTAACGAGTGAAATAAACGAAACAAAATCACTTAAATCAATTAAAACGAAACAAAATCACTTAAATCAATTGAAACGAAACCATCATCACTTAAACGCCACATGTTTACTAAAAAAGAGTTTTCGACGTGCAATTAGAATGAGGAGCCAATAAACGTGGAGCTATGACGTCTTCCGATGGCGTCGTACCGATTTCTTTTAATTCGTCTCTCACCTGTTCGACTTTTTTTAAAACTCTTAAAAAATTTAATCCGGCTAATCTTTTTAAATGATCTTCCGTCCATCCGGCAGCTAAAAGTTCAGCAAAAAGTAAAGGATACGATGATACGTCATTTAAACCGTCCGGAGTTCTGAATAAACAAACAAACAAACAAACAAACAATCGTGTCAATATTAAATACGTAACGATAAAATTTATTATTATTATTATTATTGTTTGTTTACTTATTGATTCCGTCATATCCGGCACCCAAACCTATGTGTTCAGCACCGGCAACGTTTCTTATATGTTCTATATGGGCTTTAAATAAATAAATAAATAAAAATTTATTAATTTGTTAGTAATTGTTAATAATAAATAAATAAAATAATTACTTACCTATGGCGTCTTGTACTGTTGCTTTCTCCTTACACGATAAAAACTTCGAATAAAAATTGAGCATTATAACTCCGCCATTTTCAGCCTGAAACGAAAAATATCGTTTGCTTTTCAAAACAATAATATTTATTATTATTACAATGAAATTTTTAAAATCTCATCAGTATAATAAAAATTATTTGAGGTAAAAAAAAAGAAAATTTTTTTTTTTGGAAAAAATGTTTTCAACAGATGCTGTCTGATTTTCCAAAAAAAAAAAAAATAGGATGAGAAAATATTGAGAATTTAAAAGAAAAAAAAAAAAATGACTTTTCTTCTTTTTTTTTTTGTCAACCATCTTTTGCGTTTGCCTTTTTTTTCTTAATGCCCTAAAGAACATTTTCGAACCCTTGATAAAAAAACCTTTTTTTTTCTCTTCCCTTTTTGTTGGGCTTCAATATTTTCAGTTGGGATGAAATGTTTGATTAGGTTACAACAGTGGAAAGAAAAGAAAGAAAGAAAAAAAATAATAAAGAACATAATTGGTATCATATTTCGACGCCATCTTTTTTTTCTTCATCTTATAAATATTAAATTAATTTTAATAATTTTTTTTCTTTTTATTATTATTATTATTTCTTATTCATCGTTGTCATTATCATCATCATCATCAACATCATCTCCTTATTATTATTCTCTTCCTCCGGTATCCATTAAATTGGAAAACTTTCATTTTCAACTAATGGTTCGGGTCATTTTATTTAAATTGAGTTGTAATTCATGCGGTTGATAATTCGACATGACATTTTCCCTTTTTTCCCAGACAAAAATTTTATAACCCAATTTTGTGGCATTTTCCAACTTTTCGAATATTTTCTCTCTTAAATCTCTCCTTTTTTTTTTTTAAATAAATGATGAGTCGTAACCGGTCGCCGAATCGACGTGTACGAAAATACGTTTCCCCCCTTACCCCTCTTTCATCCCTTCCCCCTTCCCTCCTCGCCCTCGCCCCCTCGCTCGAATATTATCAGTAATAAATCCCTCCCCCTAAAAAAAAAAAAAAAATTTTTTTCGAATGCATTTTGACTCGAACATTTTTTCATTTCGTGACGTGATAATAATAATAACGACGGACTCATTCTTTAAAAGAAAATAATAATAATAATAAAGGAACGATGGGGGGAGGGATTAATTGTTAATGACGTCATAAAGAATTTAAATGATAAATCCATTTTAACACGGTTCGAATGTTTAATATAAACGGATAAAATTATAAAACGGAAACGGAAACGAGGGGGGAGGGGTGAGGGAAAAAGGAAAATTATCAAAAGGACAAATCGTCAAAAAAAAAGCCGAAATTTTTGTTATTTTTTTGTTTTTTTCTCCAGCTCCAGAATTTTTTTTTTTTTTTAATTATTATAAATGTTTCGATTGGATTTTAAAAGTAAAAAAAAAAATTCATAATAGGAAAATAAAAAGGATTAAAAAAAAATTAGAGATTATCCGTTATAATCCCCCACCCTCTACCCTTTTTTTTTTAATCTTTTAACGAAATCATTATTATTACTATAAATTTAATTATTTTAACTTAAAGATAAGTAAAAAAAAATTATTTATTTATTTATTTATTTATTAACTATTAAAGTATATACGTAGTATATTTATGGAAAGAAAATTTATTTAATAAAATCTTTTTTTACGTCATCGATAATAATTATTATTATTATTATCGTTTTTTATACCTTAAACCGAATTTAAATAAATTTTTCTTATTTCTTGTCATTTTTTTTTTTTCAGTAAAACATAAATTTTATCAATTATTGATTTTTCTATTTGGATTTTCCTCATTAATTTTTTTTTTTTTAATAGAAAAATCGTTTTTGGAAAGGATAAAGTAATAATAATAATAATAATGATAATAATAATATAAAATGAGATATTACCAATTTTTTTAAAACTCTATCAGGGACGTTTCTAGAAGAATTACAAACGGCGTGAGCAGACGAATGTGAAAATATAACGGGAGCTTTTGACACGTTCAATGCACCGATCATTGTTGCTTCTGACACGTGTGATAAATCAACAACCATGCCCAATCTATTCATTTCTTTAACGACGCTTTTACCAAAATTTGTTAATCCTGAAGGTTTTGTTCTTTGACTCGTAGAATCAGGACAAGAACATTCCGCCCTAAATTGTTTTATTTAAAAAAATAAAAATTCGATAATATTAATTCGATTCATTTGTTTGTTTGTTCTTTTAAAAAATAAATCGGTGATAAAAAAAAAACACATTCACAATGTAAAATGAAAAACACAAAAAGTTTAACAAGAGTAAGAGTGAGAGAGAAAAACAAACAAAACAAAAATAATAAAAAGTTGAAGGGAAACGATTAAAAGTAATAAATAACACTTATAAAAAAAAAAAAAATGGCGGATACAAAAAAAAGTAAAAATTTACCATGGTGTGTTACAGGTTGATGTTAATGTCAGATATCGTACACCAACTTGGTAAAGTGCTCTTAAAACTGGTAAAGATGAACCGACAGAATGACCACCTTCAACACCAATCAAACTGCATAATTTTCCACGAGTGTGAGCAGCTAATATGTCTGAACAAAAACAATAACAAACAAAAAAAAATTTTTTTTTATTATTAAAATTCTAAAAACGTTTTAAAAATTAATGATTCGAAATTTTTTATTGAACGAAAAAAAAAAAAAAAACATATTGAAAACAATAACAATTAAAAATGATTTTGAAAAATAAAATGAAAAAAAAAAAAAACAATCGAAACAAACGACAAACAAACAAACAAAAATATTGCGATTGTTTTTTTTTCACACAAACACACACAAAAAAAAATCTCAGATTTTTAAAATTTTTTCTTCTTCTTCCACTTCGTTTCACTGTAAAAACAAAAAAAAAAAAAAAAAAAAAAAAAAGAAAATTTTTTGTGTTTTCATGTCACGTGATCATTTCCGTCAATCTTTTCCGTAAAAAAAAACTTTCGCGTTGCAATTTTAATTGCCAATGTTTAAAAGATGAGAGAGAGAAAGAGAGAGAGAGAGGAAGCAAAAAAAAAAAAAACATTAAGTGTCGAAAAAAAAGGGGAGCAAAATAAAAAAAGAAAAAAACTTTTTTATTTTTTTTTAAGGGTATGAGAGAGAGAGAAAATTTTTTTCTTCTACCAACCTTAGAAAAAAAAAATCACAAACCTTCGGATGTTGTGCATAGTGTCAAATCTGGATGATATCTTTCCGTCATTCTTCTTATCACGTCGACTTGTTCGAAAGCCAATTGAACGGCATCCTTAAATTGAGCCTGACACGGAACGTAAGCCGACCAAAACTGAAAAAAAAAAAAAATTAATCGTTAATGCCACGATAAAATATTCCAACGTGTCCAAATGAATTATTATTATTATCATTATTATTATTGTTATTGTCACCATAATTATTATTATCACAAAAAACTTTTAAACACGAACGATAATAAATAATGGGAAAAATTTGAATTGGGAAGAGAAAGAAGGGGAGGCGAAATGGGAGGGGAGTAGGAAGGAGAGTGTAGGGAAGGGGAGGGGAGAGGGAAGAGCGAACGACAACAACAAAAACAAAAACGTCCAAAATTGTAAATCGAAAAATGGCTCCAGGAAAAAAACGAGACGAATTTTTTTTTTTTTTAATTAAGTCAAATTTTCGATTTGTTGATTTTGTCGTTCGTTTTAAACATTATTAAAATTTAAATACGAGAGAGAGAGAAAAAATTAGATGAGACAAATAAGACGACAAAGATGATTAATAAAATTTTAAATAATCAATAGACAAATAATAATAATAGTAAAACTGGAAGAATAAACTGAAAATGAAAAAGAAAAGAAAAAGAAAAATGATTAAAAAAAGATGGAAAATGAAATATGCAAATTTTAATGGAGTATAAGACGAAGAAAAGAAAAGAGAAAAAATAAAAAAGAATATTGAAAACCGGAAATGTATGTAATACCAATGAAACAAGAGAAAAATGTAAGATGAAAGAAAGAAAGAAAGAGAGAGAGAGAGAGAAGGTAAAGAATTCTAATGCCACGACGACGACGACGACATTACATTTTAAAATCATTTGTTTTATTTATTAAATCAATTCCATTGTTTATGTTTTTTTCCTTTTTATGTTTTTCTTACATGTTTCTTTTTCCTTTTTTATCATCATCATCATGTTTTATAAAATTTTCCTTTGGTGAATACAAAAAAAAAGGAAAGGAGAGGGGGAAAAAGAAGAAAACGAATGAAAACACAAATCTTGGCGCCTAAAAAAAAAAAAGGAATCCATTTTCTTTTTCCGGTTTCCTTTTTTTAAAAAATTTGAACCTAAAGGTTTTCGATAATCTATTGCCTGACTAGACTTCTTTTTCTTTTTTTTCCTTTTTTTTCCTTTTTTCCTTTTTTTTTTGTTATTGGCTTCTGAGAGTCCTTTTAAGTGGTGATTTGTATGTAAAGCCAGGTTTTCCAGTTTTTCTTTTTAAAAGTTTTTTTTTTAACTTTTCTTTTATTTTTACTCCTTCCCCTCTCCCCCATTTTTTTTATTTTATTTTATTTTCATCATTATCATTATCATTATTATCATCGTTTTTATTTTTATTTATTTTTATTATTACTATTATTTCACCGACTGCTCTTACCTACCCTACAACTTTTCTTTTTTCTTTTTCTTTTTTTTCACTTTCTTTGTTATTTTTTTTTTTTTTTGATTTCAAACCGGAAATTACGACTTTTCCTTTTTTTTTACCGGTTTGCTTTCGATTTTCCGAAAAAAAGGAAAAGTTAAAATTGAAAAAAAAAATAAATAAATAAAATTCTTTTCGATTTTTTTTTCTTTTTCTTCTTATTTCCTCGTGATTTTCTATTTTTTTCAAATAAGTTTTTCCAGCGATCGTTATAGAAGTTTTCGATAAAAAAATCAATGCTCGCTGTGTTTGTCGTACTCACGTACCTGAAAATTTTCTTTTTTTTTTGTTCTATAATTAATTATAATAATAATGATGATAAAAAAAAATTAATAATAATAAAATTGCGATAAAAAAAATTTTTTTTTTTTTTTTTTATTGAAAATTATCGACTGTAGGTGGTCTGGAATTTTTCTTTTTATATTCTTCCCTATTCTTCTTTTTCCTTTTCCACACCTCCCCTCTTCCCCCTTCCCTTTTTTTATTATCATCATCCTTCCACTCCTCATTGCTAATCATTTGATAGCCAAGTTTTTAATGCACGACAACCTGCAATAAAAATTTATCTGTTTTTTTTTATACTCGTAAATCATTTTCATTCTTCTTATTCTTCTTCTTTTTTTTTTAATGTTTTTTTTTTTTAAAGTTTGACTTTCTTAAACTTCCGTTTCCGGTTTTATTATTCTCAGTTTAACAATTCGATTTTGCACGGCGGGAAACTTTTATTGTTTTCATCATTTTAGCATTCTTTTACTTATTCGTATTCTTCCTCTCTCTCTCTCTTTCTCTTTCTCTATCTCTCTCTTTTCCCTTCATTATTTTTTGCACAAACTTTTTCTTTTCTTTTTTTGTTCTAAAGTTTTTCGAAAAAACTTTATTATTATTATTATTATTGATTATTTAAATCTTTAAAAATAATTTTATTATACTTTTTTTTATTTTATTATTTTCACGCATAAGTTTCGCTTACATTTTTTAATTGTAAATAATAATAATAATGTTGCATATTTAACAAAAAAAAAGTCATTTGTCGTTTATGCTGGTGTGTGTGTTTTACATTAACACAAACACCCACACACGCATACGAAAAAACTTTCTTAATTCTCGAAAGCCTAATTTTTTCCAGTTTTTGTACTCCAGGGCATATTTTCACATAGTTAAACAGGTTCAAATGAAAAACTTTTCCCTGTTATTTTAATAATAATAATAATAATAATAATAATAATAATAATAATAATAATAATAATAATAATAATAATAATAATGATAATGATAACGATAACGATAACATAAAAAAAACGGTAAAAGCCTTTTAGGTTTATTTTGTTGAAAACGCGGACGGAAAAATATTTTCCTTACGTGGAAAAATAAATATAAGTTGATATTTGTTACAACAAAAAAATTTTCTCCACTAACTTTTCCACTCATTATTATTATTATTTTCTTGTTAACTATTTCCGGTTAATAAATATTTATTTACACGACGTTTGTTTTAATGTTTAACCTTTAAAAAAAATTTATACGAAGACGACGATGAATTTTGTCGAATGAGAAAATAATAAATATTAGTTTAACAACAATAGAAAAATTTGTTTGTTTGGTTGTTTGTTTGTTCGTTTGTTGTTTGCTTTTTCTTAATTTTTTTTTTTTTACGGTTTGTGTGTAAAACTTGTGATTTTCGCAAGAATAATTTTATAAAAAAGAAAAAAATTTGAATAAAATTACAAAAACAATTGAAAATATTATTAAAATAAAATTAATTAAAATGATTTTGACATGTTGTTGTTCTTGTTTGTTGTTTGTCGTTGTTGTTATTTTAGTTTTCTTAAAGTGAATTTGTTAATTTTTAAATTATTAAAATTTATTATACACGATGATGATGATGATGATGGTAAAACAATAAAAAGAGATGTAAAATCATAGGAAAAAATATAACGAAGGGAGAGAGAGAGAGAGAGAGTGAATGTTTCTTTTACGTGCAAACAAAGTATTTAAATTTCGTTTTTGTTTGTTTGTTTGTTTGTTGGTGTGCGTTCATTAATTTATTCCGTATAATTTTTAATGTAAAAATTAAATCAAAAAATAGAGAGAATGATGATGATAATAAAACTGTAATAATTTTACGGGTTTAAAAAAAAAAAAAAGTGATGAGTTACGAACGAAAAACAATTTCCCCCCCTCCCCAACCTTAAAAAATAAATTCTTTTTTGCCCCCCGAAGCTTTTTTTTTTTTTTTTGTAAATTTTTAATTTATTCAATCTCTTTTTATTTTTCTCGTAACTAGAGCTGCTTAATTTTGTTTCTCTTCCTCTTCTTTCTTTCTCTCTCTTACTCATTATCATCATCTCTTTTTTCTCTCTCTCTCACTTTTTTTTATCATTTTCTTTTTCACTCTCTCTCTTTCTCTTTTTATTTTTCCATTAAAACTTTTTTTAGCCATTTTTTTTTTTTTTTTTGTAAACTTTTTTGTTTGTTTGTTTTTATTTATAAGTCATTACTTATTTATGTACGCATACCTATTTAAATATATTATTATTATTATTATTATCGGGGGGGATTGGTTCGAAAAGGGATTTATGATGTTACTACTACATTTTTAGATTTTTTAAAATAATAATAATAAAGTTTGAATTTTCTTTTTTTTTTTTTTAAAACTAAACAGAAAACTTTTTATTGAGTAACGGTAAATTTTTTTCCCTTTTTTTCCCTTTTTTTACCCCTTTTAATCATAAAAATTTTCCTTTTCTTTTTCATTTAATCAGAGAGAAGAAAAGAAAGAAAGGAAAAAGTTTCGTTCGTTTTCTGTCTCTTTCTCTCTCTTTCTCTTTTTATTTTAATGGAAAGTCATTCAGATAATGTTTGAGAAAATTTTGACTCCATTTTCTTTTTTTTTTCTCTGACTCCTAATTACTTTTTTTTTTTTCCTTCCCCGACGCCTTTTTTTCGTTCTTTCACGCCATATTTGCCTTTTTTTGGCAAATAAAACGTTTTCAACAATATTTAAAAAAAAAAAAAAGAAAACGTTTTCCTTCATTAATTTTACACTCCAAGTTTGTTAGTAAAAAAAAAAGAAAATTAAAACATGTGTATAAAAGTAATTTTTATTTTTACGTTTCACACGAAAAAAAAAAATAAAACAACCATTTTTTATTTTAACGGTAATTTAAAAAGATATATATATATATATATATAATAAGTAAATAACTAATAAACGTTTGCGTATTTTTAAAAAAAAAATTTTTCCCGCCATTTTCCTTCACATTTTTACAGTAATCTCTTGTTAAAGGGAAAAAAATATGTATAGATGTAACGGAATTAAATAATTATTTATTTTTTTTTTTTTTAAAAAGAAAAAAAATTAAATCTGAATGAAAGAGAAACAGAAAGAGAGAGAGAGAGAGGAAGAGAGAGAGAGAGAATTAAAAAAAAAAAAAGAAAAAATCTTGTATAAATCAAAATTAATGATTCAAAACCGTATTTTTCCAATAAAAAATTTTTTTTTTTTTTTTTTTTTTTTTTTTTACAATTTGACTTTTAAATTTTGTTAATTCCTTTTTTTTATTCCTTTTTTTTTCCTTTTTTTCCATTTTTTCCTTACCTAAAATTGTTCATTTTATTATAATTATTATTATTATTATTATTATTATTATTACGTTACGACTAAATAAATAAAACGTTTAAACAAAAAAAAATTTTTTTTTTTTCGTTTTCTACTCCCTACACCATAATTACAAGCTTAATTTAAACAAATTATTATTATTATTATTATTATTATTATTATTATTATTATTTCTACTAATGATTTGTTTAATAAATGAAAACATATGTACGTTAATAATAATAATAATAAAATTAATTTATTATCGTTTTTATTATTTATTTTTTGCGTTAAAAAAAAAAAAAACAATTTAATTTTATTAAGATTTATGTACGTGAATTTATTTATTTATTTATTTTTATTATTAATAATAATTTATTAATAAGAAAACCGATAGAAAATTCTAAAAATAAAGAAAATTTTGTTTTCGTTTGACAAAAAAAAAAAACAATAAAAAAAAAAAACGGGAAAATTTTTTTGTTAGGTAAAATGTGTGCGTGTACATGTTTGTTTGTTTGTGTTTGTGTTGTAAACACATTTTTTTCTCTCTCTCTCTCTCTTTTTCTGTTATAGAAAATCATAAAACCTTAAAAAATATTTTTTTTTTAAAAAAAAAAGTTACACTCTAAGAAAAACAAAAAAAAAAAAATTTAAATAAATAAAAGTTAAGAAAAGAAAAAAAAAGGAAAGATTTTTTTTGTCCGCCGCCATTTTTTTTTTTTTACTTTTCTCGTAAGTAAAAAAAAAAGAAATTTTTCTTTTTGAAATGAAAGACAGTTAAAACTTGTAAAACGTTTTTTTTTTTTATACATTTTGAAAAATGAAATAAAAAAAAAAGGAAAAAAAGAAAAAAAAAGAAATCTATTTAAAATTTTAAAAGGGAAAAAAAAGAATAAAAAGAAAAGAAAGAGAGAGAGAGATTATACGATCTACTTTAGTTAGGGTTTATTACGAGCCTAATTTTAATAATTATTTTTATTATTAAATCACGACATTATTAACAAAAAAAAAAAATTTCTTTTTTCTTCTTCTTCTTATTAATTTCCTTTCAGATACATAAATTTCTTTTTCTTTTTTTTTTTTTTTTTTTAACTACAATTTAAATATTTAAAAAGATTTTTTATTCTTAACAGCCGCCACCACCACCGCCGCCATCTTGATATATATCATTAATAATTTTATGCAATTTTTTTATTCTACCTAATAATATAATTATTTTATTAACTTTTTACCTTTTTCTCCCTCATCCCATCCCATCCCTTCCCTTCCCTCCTACCCCCCGTATAATATATGTAAAATAATAATAATAATAAAATTATTATTATTAATAATAATATCCACGAGTTTTCGCAAACAAATTTTAATAATCGAATAAAATATTAAAAAGATTCGTTTAAATATTTTAAAATTTTCATTAGAATAACTTTTATTATTATTATTATTTGAATATTTCCATTTTATTCTAGAAGGATTTAAATAGAATAATAAAATAAAAAAATTTATTTATTTAAAAGCATTTTCTTAGGGAGAAAAAAAATAAAAAAGAAGAAAAAACAATTATTTCATTTTATTTCGAAAGAGATAAGAATTATTCTGATTGGTCGAAAATTTTTTTTCTTCTGGTAAAATCGTTTAACCCGAAATTAAACGATGATTACCGAAGATGATTACAGATTTAAAAATTTCCTTAACTTAGATCAATGTGACGTCATTTTCGCGAATCGTAAATAAATAAACAAAGAAAAAAACGAAAAAAGGGCATTATAAAAAAAATTAATATTTTTATGTTTTTATTACGTAAAAACAAGGTCTTTTTATGTTTCTTATTTTTATTTTTTCGGCGTTAAAAAAATGTTAAAAGAACTAAATTCGTGTTCATCGTACATAACCGTATTAATTATGATGTGTGAGTTTGGGTAATGTTTTCTTATAATGTGATTCACATTTTTAACATGTTAATTAAAAAAAAAAAAACTCTTTTCCAAAGGGACAACAAACAAGAAAACTTTTTGAAAAAAAAAACAAACCCTCCCCATTTTGTTGCTGCTGCTTTTTTTTAAAAATTTATTTCGGAGATTATTTAAGTCTTTTTTTTTTTTTCAGTTTTCAACAAACACAACCAAAATAATCCTTTGTTTTAAAAAAAAATGCAAATTATTCAGTTAAAAAAAAGAAAATGGTTTTTTGCAAAAGCGATAATGGATACCAGCCGCCATTTCATAACATCAAAAAAGAAAAAGAATTACTATTATTATTATTATTATTATTATGGTATAAGTATACGTAAATGAAACGAAAAGTTAAATAAATGATGACGTAATATAAAAAAAGGTCATTACTTGTATAATTTTACTCGACGTAAATCAAAAAAGAAAAAAAGAAAATTGAAAGCCATATTTTGTTTTTTTTTGTTTTTCCTTCTTCATTATTTCTTTCACTTTAATATTTTCCTTTTTCAAATTTTTTTTTTTTTTTATTTCTTTTTCTTGTTTTTTATATAAAAAAAAGAATTTTATTAAATTAAATTTGTCAATAATTCAAAATAATCCAATTTTTTTCTTTTTTTTTAAACAAAAACAAAAAAAATTTTCTTGCTTTCTTTTTTTTTGCTTCCATATTTTATTCATTTTCTTTTATTTTCTTTTTAAGAAAAAAAAAAAAGGGAAAAAGTTAGAAACTGAGAAAATTTGTTTATTGTTATTTATTTTAAAAGTTTTCCAGTCGAAAAGGTTTCTTATTAGATGCCAAACGTCATTTTCACGTTTTGTCTCAAACTTTTTTTTTTTTTTTACTTTTCCTTTTTTTTTTTTTGATACTCCATTTTCAAATTTTGAAGTTTTTTTCATTGTTTTGTGTATTGGCTTTTACCTCCCACCCTCCCCATCCTTCCGCTTCCCTCCCTCATCCTTTTTTTCCTTCCTTTCCCGGTTTTTACCAATTTTTTTTTTTAACCCCCCCCCCTCTTACATCTTTCAATTTCATTTTTACCAATTTTTCCCTCTCTCTCTTTTTCGTTCCCTCTCTCACTTTTTTTTTACCGCGTCATTTCACTATTTTACCCGATTTCAAAAAAAAAAAAAAAGGAAAAAAATTTTTTTTTATTTTTCATTTTAAAATGTTAAATTCAGTGAGTTAGATGATTCGTGGAAAACACGCACACACGCACGTACACACTCAAACAAACATTTAAAACATAAAAACATAAAAGTGTTGCAACAAAAACATTTTTTCATTTTTAACTTTTTCAACGGTTTTTTTAACTTTTAATTAACCTCAACTAAAAACTCATATCATATTGAAATTTCAAAAAAACAAAATTGCTTTACATTTTGTAAAAAACAAATTTATTATCATTATTATTATTATCATCATTTAACCATTCGACAAATAATAATAATGATTTTTTTCCCTCTTTTTTTTTTGTTGGGTGGGGAGCAGGGGTTACTTATTTAAATATTTATTTACAAAAAAGTAATTAATTTTCATAGTTTTTCGTTTCAATATTAATATTCGGAAAACCGGAAATAATTTTCGGTTTTGAATAATTATTATCATTATTATTATTTCAGGTGTGAATTTTTTTTTGGAAAATTCTTCTCTGTGAAAATAATTATAATTTTTGACATTTTAATATACGAATAGTAATTAATACTCTACGTAATAATAATGATAATAATAGAAAGTTTTTTTTTTTTGAAAATTTCAATTCATATGAAAATTTTAACGAAATATTTTTCTCGATTTCCGGTTTAAATGGAAAAATTTTGAGCGATTTTATATATCAAAAGGAAAATCATTATTATCATTCCAAATAATATATATATATATATATATATATATATATATATATTATCAAATAATTTAAAATGGGCGCTTTTGAAAACTTTTCTATATAAATAGTGTAAAACACGTATTTTTCCACAATGTTTAATAAAATTCTAAGGGTGAAAGAAAACTTTTCCGACGATTTATACAGTTTAACTTTTAACGACTTATTCAGCTTTTCCATCCCCCCACCCATCCCTCCCTCCTTTAATTTCCCTCACTTAAACGTTTAAGCAACAGAAAAAAAAAATGTTTGTTCTTTTTTTTTTGTTTTTATTTCTCCCTGTAATAAAATTTAATTAGTATCGTGCACGTGCGTGGGTGCGTGTTTGCGGGGGGAGTGCGTTTGTATTGCTTACCTGTGCCGACACGTGTCCTGCTTTTAATCTAAGTAGATCCGTTTGCGACCAAGAACTCGATGACCAGGGTTTCACCTTACGAAGATCTTCACGAAATTTAAAATCTTTTAAACGATTTTGTAAAAATTTACGAATGTTCCAAGGCAGATCATTGTGCCTGGAAAAAAAAAAGAAAATCTGTTAGTGATAACGTTGTTATCATTAATGAATTAAAATAAATATATATGTTTTAAAAAAAAAACAATGATGAGGAAACGTGACGAAAATTTGAAAGGAAACAATACGAAAAAACTTTTTTTGTACATGAAAAAAAAAAAGGTTTAAAAAAATAAAACGAATCTTTTTCGTATTTTTTCTCTCTCTCTTTCCCTCTCTGTCTCTTTCTCTCTCTCTCTATTTCTCTCTCTTTCTCTCTCTTTCTCTCCCCCCTCTCTCTCTCTCTTACTTTAAAAAAAAATAAAAAGTTTAATTCAGAGAAAAAAAAATTCAATATATATATAAATTTTTTTTTTGTCAAGTTTTCATAGTTGAATAATCGAATAACCGGAAACAAATATTTTTTTAACGGAAATGAAAAATCTTTTGATTTTCAATTAAATCGATGTTGGATTTTTTTTTTTTTTTTTCTAAAGATTTCTATTCAACATTTTTCGAAAATAGTTTTGTGAAAAGTTTAAAATTAAATTTTTCTTTCTTATAAAAAAAAAAAAAAAAAAAAAAATTTTCTTTTCCTTTAAAACAAAAAAAAAAAAGGATGCTAAACATTTGCGCAATTTTTCCTACTTTTAACCCTCATCTCACCTTCCCCTCTCCTCCCCTCCCCACCTTTTTAGGTCTTTCGATTCTTTAACTTTTTATTTATTGAAAAAATTTTTTTTTATTTTTTATTAAAAACCATAACGACGACAATAACAATGATAATAATAATAATAATAATGATGATAATTTTTTTTTTTTTTGTACTTTTCGTTAATTAAAAAAATTTTATTATTTATTATTATTATTATTATTATTATTATTATTATTATTATTATTATTATTTAAATTTTTAATTAATTTATTGATTTTGTTGTTTTTTTTTTGTTTGTTTGTTTGTTTATTGATAAATTCGATTTAATAATAATTTTATTATTTTTTTCATTTCATTTTTATTAAAAAAAAATAAGGACCTACCCGTACATATATTAAAAAAAATAACTCTAAGCAATTACATGACGTCATGATAATAATAATAATAATAATAACAAAAATTATTTAATTTTATTAATAAATGAAAGCGAACGATGTTTTTTTTTTAATTTTAATTTTTTACGATTTTAAAAATAAAAATATTTGAAATTTGTTCTCTCCCCCTCCCCCTCGTTTTGACAAAACCGAAAAAAAAGTAATAATAATAATAATAACATAAGTTATTGTTTTTTTTATTTTAATAAATATATTTTTTTGTGCAGAGAAGAAAAAAAAATAACAATAAAATTTTCTTTTTTTTTTTTTAATAAAAAAAAAAAAAATAAAACGAATCCGTTTCGGTTAAAAAATTTATAACTCGTCACACAGACACACACACACACATGTCAATCTACAAGAAACGCAAACAAACAAACAAACAAACAAACGAACAAACAAATTTTTCTTACGTCGAAATTTAAATTTTTATTATTAATAAAAAATTTTTTATAGAAAAAAAAAAATATTTTGTTACTTAAATAACTATAAATAAAAATATTTACGGTGAGGTTTCGAATAAATTCTTCGAAACTCTCAAATTTAATTAACGAATAAAAAAACAAATGAATAATAATAATAATAATAATAATAATAATAATAAAGCCAACGGCCATAGCGTGCTGGTCACACCGGTTCCCGTACGATCACCGAAGTTAAGCAGCATCGGGCGTGGTGCAAACTTGGATGGGTGACCGTCTGAGAACGCCACGTGCTGTTGGCTTAAAAGAGCAAAAAAAAAATGAGAACAAGACAAAGTAAGAACCAAAAACAAAATCTTGTTCTACTGTCGACCTGAGGCAGCTCGACGAGAATGTGAATTTCACTGCTTCTGACCTGGCCACTCCAAAGATGTTAGTCACTGGAGCCCAGTTCAGGAGACAAATCGTTCCCATCGAAAAAGACGGACTCAGGAAGACCTTCAAGAATTGATGTGGTGCTATCTTATAATAAGTGGCACCACCGAAATTCGAGTATTTGTCCCTAAGGAATCGGGTAGAAACCTCGGATAAATACTTAAAAACTCCGACAAGTAGCCTTGTCGTGTTTAATGGTGGATAATAATAATAATAATAATAATAATGATAATAATGATAATAATAATAAAAATTGTAAACGAAAAAAAAAAAATAACGTACCCATCGATAAGAGGCACTTGTTTGAGTAATGACGTGGCAAGTGCTAATCTATCATCGAATGTGGTCCCTTCTTGTACACGAAGAGCGTATGGAAGTGCGACTCCAACAGCTCCACCAATTAATATAATTAATATAATTCCCAACCAATGTTTTGACGATAAATAATAAGCACCTGGAAAAAAATTAATTAAAAAAAAAAAAACTTTGAGTTAATAAAAAAAAAATGTTTTAAACCCCCTCACACCCCAACCTCCTTCCTCTACATTCTACCTATACCCCCCTCCTCTCTCACTCTCCCTCTTCATTTTCAAATTCCTTTTTAAAATCCTTCTGCTATTAAGTTTTTTTTCCTTATTCTTGTCGGGGTTGTACTTAACTGGTATTTTATTGTTGACAGTAAAGGAGTGGCAGGCACTAATCGTTAAAAACAAGACAGACAATTATTGTCGTAAAGGGATTTTCAAAAAAAATAATAATAATAATAAAAATAAGTGTAAAATTACTTTTTTGTTTCTGTCTCTCTCTCTCTTTTCTTTTCTTTTCTTCAATTTTCCTTTTCCCGAAAAAAAATTTTTATTATTAAACCTTTCGCGACATTTGCAACAAAAAAAGTTTTTTTTTATTTTTTGTTATTTTTGTTAATGCATAATTTACAATAAATAATAAAATTGTTTAAAATTTTTAAAACTCTCCTCTCTCCCACTCCTCCTCTCCATCCCTCCTATCTCCTCCCGTTTTTAAAATGTAAATGACGTAGTTCCGGTATACGCGGGAATTCTATCGTTTCGTTTCCGGTGCACGAATTCATGACAATCGACGTCTTTTCATCGTTTTATTATTAAAACGACTACATTAATAATAATAATGATAATGTTTTTATTTTATTTTTGAATTATTATTATTATTATTTATTATTTAAACGTCAAAATGTTTTTAATAATTTTTTTTTAAACGGAAATAAACGGCCATGTTTCTTTTTTTTTTTTAAATTATTGTTTTCAATCAATGAAAAAAAAAAAAAAAATTTTGCCGTTTTCGATTTTATCGATTTAGAAAAAAAAAAAACAAATAGAGTCTCGACTGATACATACGTGGGATTGAAGCGGGGGGTAGGGGGCCGACACGTTTAGTCTCAGGGTCAGATTCTTTACGTGACTTAACACTTCCGGTTTTTTTTATTTATTTTTATTCTTTTCACGTTTTTTTTTTAACGTTTTATTCTTTTTAACATAATAAATTGCTGTTGGATATTTTTTTTTCGAAAAAAAAAACAAAAAAGTTTTTGATTATCGCTGTTGTGATGATTTCCAACAGGGAAATTGATTAATGTCTCCTCCTCGTTCTCCTCCTCCCTCCTTCTCCTTCGCTTCCTTATCATTTTATCATTATATCACAACTCTTTTAACGTTTCGTGTTTTTTTTTTCTTTTTTCGAAATAAATTTATGGGAATAAAAAAAAAAATTTTTTATAATAATAATAATAATAATAATAAATGAAAAAAAATAAAAAAATAAAATAATGATTAATAATAATAATATTAATAATAATAAATTTAATTTTTTTTCACACAGGTGTTAATAATTTTTTATTTAAATTAATCGTAAAAAAAAAAAAAATCTCACGTCGTAAAATTAAATAATTTTTTTTTTTTTGTTTCGTAATTTTTTTTAGAAAAAAAAACAACATAAAAAGAAAATGGAAAAAAAGCAGGAAAATGGAAAAAGGAAAAAAGGAAAAAGATGAAAAAAATAATTGAAAGGAGAAATGAATGACCCGACCGTAATTAAATTAAAAGTTTTGCCAAAATTTTCAAGAGTCTATTTTATAAAGATTTCTTCTTCTTTTAACTGGATGAAAAAACAATTCTTTTAACTGGAGAGAAAAAAGACTAAAACCACGACAAAAAGAAAAAGAAAATGTCTTCTTTTTTTTCGTTAAAAATTTAATGATTTTAAAAAGTATAAATCGGAGAAAATAAAAAAAAAATTTTTTTTTTCATTTAATCAAATGGTTAATTGTGTGTATGTTGGCTCCCCGTTGTTTAGTGTGTGCGTGCGTGCGTGCGCGCCCGTGTTAATTTCATTCAATTCATTTAAAGCAATAATTTTATTCTCCCCTCACCACCCCCTCACTTCCTCCCACCATTCATTCACTTTAATCATGATTTTTAATTGGGAAAATGGTCATGTTAATTTTAACGAGATTTTTCTCTCTCGTAAAAAAAAAAAAAAAATTTTTTTTATTTCCGTTTAATTTAATTTCCTTTCGATTGTTTTAATCTCTCTCTCTCTCTCTCTCTCTCTCTTTCTCACACACACACACACACACACACACACATTTTTATTTGATAGATTTTAAATTTAACGTTAAATTATTTATTTATTTGATTTAAATCCCTCCCCCGTCTTCCCTGCTTCCCCTTCCTACCTCTTTCCCTTCCGATTTAAATTTTCATTTTTTTCTATGACATATTCTAACATATATTATTATTATTATTATTAGAAAATCGAGTCGTCTGGGGGGACAAGAAAGGAAGAAAAAAATGAAGAAATACAAAAAAAAAAAAGAAAATAAATGAAAATAAATTAGGTAAAAGGTGATAATGGCGTTATCAAATAGAAAACACAAGTCAGCACCTCCCACTTATATATATATATTAGGTCCCATTGGACGTTTTATAACACTTTTATGTCAGAGATTTTTTTTTTTTTTCTATGTCGATTGGGATTTTGAAGTTTTCCGTTCGATAAATTGCCATCTTTTTTTTATTTTTCTTAAAAAAAAAAAAAAACCTTTTTCAATACAAAGGTTTCTTCTATTAACCCTCAACGATTCAATTTTTTTAATGTGAAAATATATAGAAAAAAAAAGAAAAATAAAGAGAAAGAAAAATCGTTGTAAATATTTTTTTTTTTTCAATTTTTAAAAATGGCGGTCGAATAATTTTTTACTTCGAGTTCAATTTTTTATTATTAAATATTTAAATGTTTAACAAATAAAAAAAAGGAAACAAATCGATAAAATTGACCGGAAACAAACCGCATTTAAGTCACGTGACGTAAATTTTAAACCGTTAAGTTCAAAAAAAAAAAGTTTATTTTTATAAGGCTGTGGAATTTTTTTTACGAAACGAACGGAGTGGAAAGAAACAAAAAAAAACCGCGAAATTTAAATTTTTTAAAATAAAACGAGGGGAAAGGGGCGAGGAAGGTGGGGAGAAGGGGGAAGGGGAAAAAATTTTTCGAAAAGTTAAAACATTAGAATATAATTAATTTTCTTGGTCTTCATCGAGGTCGTGACCTTTTTTTTTTTTTCATTCTCTCTTGTGTTTTCTCTACATTTTCTTTCATTTTACTTTTTTCCTTTCCTTTCGAACCCTTAATTGAGCCAACAGACATTTTCCTACCATTTTCCTTCCACTTTCCCTTATACTCTCTTTCTCTTTTTCTCCATTTCTCCGATATTATTTTCCTCTACTTTTCGGTTACAAACAATTTTCTTACATTGCTCTTTTTTTTTATACGTCTGTCTCAAAATGGCGTCGCAATTTTAATTAAAACGTAATTTACCTAAGTGTCGACAATGTTTTTCATAGAATGAAATTTAAAGGTTACCACAAAAGGAGTAGACATCAACTTGAAATCGGTTGAAATCTGGTTGTGACGTTCGTGGTGGGGGTGACGACGGGAAGGGAGAAAGGGGGAGAAAGGAGGGGGTTTTTACAACAAAACAATAAGAAAACTGAGTCGATTAATCAAATGTTCTTTCCGTCTCGTTTTTTTTTTTAAAATAAAATTTTATTTGATCGGGAAAATAAAAATTATTTTTTAATTTAAATTTCAATTTAAAAAAAAAAAAATGGCGGATGATGAAAAACGTTTAGCAAACTAAATCCCCATTTAAAAAATTTACGCACATATATAAAATCATTAATTACTTTTTATCTATAATTAATTATTAAAAAATTTAATTACTTATAGTTAATGATAACATATCTAAAATTTAAACTTTGAGAAAATCAGGTTGGAAAACCAAACAAAAAAAAAATTATATCAAATCCGATTTTATAATTTAAATTTTTTTTTAGTTTTTTTCCGTCTTAAAATCACACGACGAGTCGCCATTTTTTTTAATCCCCCATTATTATTATTATTATTATTATTATTATTATTATGTTGAGTTGAATGAGAGACATTCAAAATTTTCATTTTACGATCGAATTCCTAACGTCGAAAACAAAATTTTTTTTAAATATACGTTCGTTCGTACGTTCGTACGTTGGTTTGTATGTTTAGAAAATCTTTTGATTTATAGCAAAACGTATAAATAAACGAGGTTTTCCTCCAGCAAAACTCGTAGAGGAAAATTTTATCTAAACTCAGAATATTTGATGTTATAATATAACCATATTAGATTCATAAAATATTTATTCTCTATTTACAATTCGCTTGATTTCCGCTAAGTAAAAAAAAATTTTTCTTTTTCTCAATATATATATATATATTAAAGTGAATAAAATTTTATTAAAAAAAAATTATTTCGAAACCATTTTTTTTATACCTTTAGTCTTCTTCCTTTTCCTTTTTTCCTTTTAAAAATTTTAAAATTCAAGTAAAAGCACAAAAAAAAAAAAAACTCGAAAGAAAATAATTCATAAAAAAAAGAAAAAGTAATAATAATAATAATAATATAAAAAAGGAATCTCATTTTAAAACATGTTGGCGGAGTTATCAATTAATCATTGGAGAACAAAAAAACTGGAAATTATTTCTCCAGATATATATTTTTCCATTTTCTTTAACATTGTAAAAATTATTCCAGCGAGAAATTTTTTTTTTTCGCACTCACCTCGAATTTTTTTTTTTTTTTTTTTATTAATTTTTGATAATAAATGCAAAAACGTGGCAGTAACGTTAGTTTTCTATCTAAAAGCACGTTAAAAAAATTTTTTTTCCATTTTTTTCGTTCGATTAATTCCAAAAAAAATTATGACGTCGTCAAGGAAAGGAGTACGAAAGGCAGTCTCTGGAGAAAATTAATCCGGCCTATCCTTTCCATTCCCGATTTTATTAATAAAAAATTTATTATTATTATTATTATTAATTAAATGGATTTTAAATTTATCTATGAAAAGATTATGATAATTAATGCGCTGTAATTTTATAAAGAGAGAGAGAGAGAGAGAGAACTAATATGCGATCGATGACGTCACGTAAAAACAAGTCAACCGTCTAGTTTTTTTTTTCTTTCTTCAGTGTACCTTTCAATGTTATTTTCATAAAAAAAATATTCAAAAAAAATTGAATGATGCAAACAAAAGAGGGTATGAATGAATGAATGAATGACTGAATTTATTTTCCGTGAAAATTACAAAAGAAAATTTATGGACCAGAATTTAAATTTAAAAAAAATTTTTTTTTGAAAGAATTTTTGTCGTCTCCGTTTCGGACCTTTTGTTTCCAGTTAAAAAAATGTCGAGAGGTGAAACCGACAATTAACAAAAGAATAATAATGATGATGATAGCATAAAATGAAAATTCATCGATTTATCCCCCCTCTCCCCGATCCCAGACATTTATTACGGGCGTTAAAAAAAAAAAGATTTTTTTACCTCCGGTCGTTGGTGATATAGAATTTGGCGTGCTCGTTTGTTGCTGCTGTCGTAAAAAATTGACTTCTTGTCTAGCAACATCAGGAGGAAAAAGTACGCCACTGCCACCACCACCGCCGACGCCGACGCCACCACCACCATCCTATTAAAAAAAAAAAGAAAACGTAAAAAAAAATTTTTTCTAGAAAATAAACCAAGTGGTAAGCAAAAAAAAAAAAGAAAATTTTTTTTTATTTAAAAAAAAATAATTTTCTTAGGAAAATGTCACGTCCAGACACGACACGCAATGCTCATCATGTTTTCCAGGTTTTTATTTTGTCCCTTTTTTTCTTTCTTTTTTAAATTAAGAATTCGTCGTGTCAACTTTTTTTTTTTTTTTTTGTTATCGATTCGCGAGGAAATTCGTATAAAATTCACAAATTTTTAACTTTAAAAAAAAAATGTTTTTTTTTTTTTTTTTTTTCATTCTCTTGAAAGATTTAAAGAGAAACGAAAGGTTGGGAAGGAGGAAGGGGAAGGGGGATGGGAAAAAAAAGGGATTCAGTAACAAATTTTTTTTTCCTTTTTTTTTTTTCCTTTCCCAAGGTTAGAATTTTTATAAAGAGAAAAAATAAAAAAATAAATAAAAAAAATGATAAAAATCATTTGAATGCAAGAAAAGTCAAAAAAAAAAGGAACGATAAGAAAAGAGGAGGAGCAGGAGGAGGAGGAAGATGAAGAGAAGAAAAAAAAATGAAAAAGTTACGACGACTGGAGTCACAAAAAAAAATGGAAAAAATGGAAGAGAAAACGTCATTTAACAATAATTTTTTTTTCCAGAAAAATAAATAAAAAAAAAAAATGGAGAACAAAAAAAATTTTTTCGTTTTACCTTTTCTGTCTCTCTCTCCCACTTCTTCTCTCTCTCTCTGTCTCTCTCTCACTCGTATTTTTATGACGGTTGATTATGACTGATGTAAATTAAATAACGTCGGTTAATTAACAAAAAAAATAATTAAAAAATTTGTTTGAACGAAAAAGAAAAAAAAAATGTTGTAAATTGTCGTCGCACGAACGACGATAAAATATTGTTTTTCCAGCACAAAAAAAAAACAATTATTATTATCATTATCATTATTATTATTATTATTATTATTATCATTATCATTATTATTATTGTTATTATTATTAATTATTACTATTATTGGGTTAGGAAAACAATAAGAAAAAAAATTTTTTTAATTTTTCGGACGATGATGTAAAAAAAAAAGGAAAAAAAGGAAAAAAATTTTCTATCGTGGAATTAGAAACTATGACGTGTCACGAATTTAAATGAAATTTCTTCTTTTTTTTTTTTCAAACAATTAAATTTTTGTGAAATTTCCAAAAATTTACAAACGAATTTAAATTCGATGAAATGGGGAGGGGGGAGGAGCGGGAAGAGGGGCGTAGGTAAAAGTGAAAAGAAAGAAAATTTTCTCCTCCTTCTCCTTCTCCTTCTCCACCCCCGTCGGTACCTGAATTATAAAATTAGTTAAAGTAAAAAAAAAAATAATTTTTTTTTTGTTCTTTTGGATTCCTTTTGTCTTAAAAAAAAAAAAAAAAAATTGGAAAATTTTTAAAATTAAATAATTAAAATTTTCATTTTATTTTCTTTGTTCTGAACAAAATTTAAACCTTTTTCAACCTTTTTTTTTTTTAAAAAATATCGGTTTCGATTGTTAAATTATTTCTTTAATGTTTTTTTTTCTACGTATTGTTTACATCGAAAACAAACAAACAAACAAACAAATAAACAAACCTGTTTGAATGAATTGTATGTGTGACCGCAAGAATGTCTTCTATCCTTGTTTAAATTATATCTAACATTATCTTTCAACGGTCCTCCCGTAACAATATCTGAACTATCAACGAGGCTAACATTTTTACCAACATTATCATCACATTTAAATTTTTTACACGTTTTTATTAAATCTTTCTGACTTTCACCGAAAATTTGTTTGTCGTAACTTTGCAAAGAACTCGAAGAACGTACGTCTTTTAATTTTCTTGGATTTTTCCACCTGTCGTCGTGATACCCAATCGAACCCGATCTGCTGGGTAAATAAACGTCGCGTGAATCATCAAATCTAATCATGTCGCCATCGTCCCAAGCTACACTTTTTTGGCACTTTATATTTGTTTCGTTTAATTTTTGGTCCCACGATTCTATTTCTCTTTCCACGTCACTTTGAGACCACGATAAACTTTCAACCATTACACCTTCTCCAATATCATCCCATATTATTTGTCCTGCCGATGGTAAATCTTTACGTGACATTCTCGAATCTGCGATTTCCGTTCTCGCACCGTCAGAGCAACGATGCATGAAATTTTTATTATCTCTACGATAAACCGGACGATATTCGTCGGATCCGTGATCGAACAATTCTCGAAAATCTCGCATTTTATAATGGAGACGATCCGAGGGACCGTCACGTGATATGTTCCATTCGTAACCGTTTAATATATCGTGATCGAAATTGTGATGCGTCGCGCAAGGACTTTTTATTGCTGTTGTTGCTGTTGTTGGTCTCGTAGTTTGCGGATGCACTCTAAATACTTCCGACATTATGCCAGTAATTACTTCCTCAATAAAATCTTCAATCAACTGACGTCATACCTAAAAAAAAAAAAAAATTAAAAAAATTTTTGTAGTTAAACCAAAAAAAAAAGTAATAATTGACAATCGTGTTTAAAAACTTAATTTTATTACGTAATAAACAAAAAAAAGTCTATTTTTTAATAAAATTTTAATAAAACAAACAAACAGACACTTTTGGATTTAAATTTTTATTATTGTTAGACTATAATAAATTTTCTCTTGACATTTCATCACAATGTAAAAAAATTTTTCAAACGAGAGGTTTCCTCCTCCCTCATCCACCCCTTCTTGTCTTATTATAATTAATTAAATTGTTTGTTTGTTTGTTATTTTAAAAAAGGGGGGGAAGGGAAAACTTTAAACAAAAGTTCTTTTGAAAATACTTTTTATATGTTAATAAAAATATTTATATAAAGTGTGAAAAAGATCAAAAGCATCCCTCTTATAAAAAAAAAAAAAGAAAGTCAGGGAGAAAGAGAGAAAGAAAGAAAGAAAGGAAAAAAATGCCTCGAGTGTAATTTTAAGGATGAAAAAACAATAAAATTAGGATTTAAGAATGGAGGGGAGAAGGGGTTGAAAAAAAAATGGCGTCAAATTTTGATTGATATTACGAAACGAGCGAAACGTTTTTCCTTTTTTTTTCTCCCGGTTAAAAAATTTTTTTTATATTTTTTTCACAAGAAAAAAATCGTAATTAAAATATTATTATTATTATCATCATTATTATTATTATTATTATTATTATTATTATTATTATTATTATTATTATTATTATTTAACAAATGAATAATGATTAATTAATTATAAAAAAAAATAAAATTTCAATGTCCGGTTTTTTCTTTTGTTTTGTTTTTTTCCTTTTTCAAAGTTTTTTTTTTTTTTTAAAAAGGAAGAAAGGTAAGAGGGGGAGAGAGGGAAGAGGGGGTATAAAGGGAGGGTTTGAAAAATAAAACAAAAGAAAATTTTTAACTACTCTACGTCTCCGAAAAATTTTTAATTAGCTTTTGATATCATTTTAATTTTGTAAAAGACGAAAATATTTTTTTACATGCGTACGAACATATTAAATTCTCTCAATTATTTTATAGCGCTATAAATGTGTGTGTGTGTTTATAGTCTTTATACAAACTATATTTCTTTAACTTTTGAAATTTTAGACAGAGTAATGAAAAATTTTTTTTTTCCCACATTTTTCGTTTCCTTCTTTTCCATTTCCTTTTTCTTATTTTAAAGTTTTTACATGACTATTAATAAGTGCGTATAAATTTACTTATGCAATCGGAATTATATACATAACTTTATTAATATTTAACATTATAAATCGATCGCCTATATTATTATTATTATCGGGGGGAGGAGGGGAAGGGGGGGAATTTACGATAAGATTTCGTTTATCATTATTAAATTAAAGTGGTTTTAAAATTACTTTTTTTTTCCTTTTCATTTTTAACGTGAATTATTATTGTTTCAAATAAATTATTATTACTTTCGTGGTATTTATTAAAAGGGATTTAAACGTGAAACGAAAAAAAAAAATCCAAACCGGAAACGGAAGTAAAATTAAATATAAAAGTAAAATAAGAAAAAAAAAATTTTTTTGTTTCTCGGATTCATTTTAAACAATTTTCTTCTTTTTTTTTTTTTTGTTCTTTCTTTCTTTCTTTCTCTTTATGACGAATGTTTTTATTAAAATTGATATGACGGTCGTAGATAATAAAAAAAAAAAATAATAATAATAATGATAATAATAATAATAATAAAAATGAAGCCATTTAAAAAAAAGGAAATTTTTTTTTTTTACTTTTTTTTTTCAACGTTAAGTAAATAAAAACATATTTCGTCTCCCCGGTTAGCTTTTTCCCGGTTTATCCCCTTTTTTTTTATTTTTTTAAACCTGGTCTGACTCGAGGTTATTTATTTATTTATTTTTTTTTATTTAAAAGGGTAGAAGGGTCAATAGAAGGGGTTGAAAGTAAAAAAAAAAAGACTTAAATGGCGTTTAAAGAGGGTTGTTAGTGGCGGTTTTGATTGTCATTGTAAATATCGCAACCTTATTGTTAAAAAAAAAAACCCAAACAAAAACAAACGAATCCTTTTTTTTTAAACAAACGTATTATTATTTATCACGTCGGTGATAATAATAATAATGATAATAATAATAACTCACGGTATAATATTATTAGGAAAAAATTAAATTTTTTTTTTCTTTTTTCTTTTCTTTCCAGTCATAAAATTGAATTAAAGAAATAGGAAAAAATGCGTCACGGTAACAATAAGAAGAAAAACAACAACAACAACAGCAACAGTAGCAGAAGAAAAAAAAAAAAAGAAAAATTTATTCGATAGCGATAACTCAAGGAACAAAAAAAAAAAAATAAAATAAAATGAAATGAAATAATTTAAAATGCAACGACGTAAAAAAAAAAAAAAAAAGATTACAACGAATCGTAACGCACAAAAATTTTTTACAATAAACAAACAACAACAACAAAAAAAAGGAAATAAAGTTAAATAAATAAATAAAACGGAAATAATGAAAAAAAAAGCAAAAAAAAAAACGATCGAAAAAAAAGGCATTACTTTTCGGTAAGATGAAAAAAATTTTTTTTTTTTTTTTGTCAAAGATTGAAAAATTTTGGAAAAAAAAACGATTCAAAAAGGATAAACGTGATAAAATATTCTATCGGTAAAAAAAAAAAAAAGAAATTTTATTTGACCTTGTAAAGCAGACGATTTTTTTTTTTTTAAAGAATTGTTCAACCGTTAAAACCAAAATAAAAGTCATTAAAAAAAAAAAGAAAAAGAAATTCCAGAAAGAAAGAGAAGAAAAACGTTTCGACATCCGTTTTATATTTGAAAAAAAAAGATAATTTTTGGCGACGAAAAGTGTTTTACCATTTGGAAAAACCAAAAAGAAAATAATTTCCGGTTCATCCCATCGGATATGGTTACGAAGTGAAAACATTTTCCGGTTAAAAAGCGTTTGGTTATTTTTTTAATTAAAAAAATTTTTTTTTTTTCCTTTTCCTTGTTCTTTTATAGATTAATTATTATTATTATTATTATTAAGCGTGAAAAAACACACTTCCGGTGACTTATTTTTTTATTTTTTTTAATAACGATTCGTCTGTGTTTAAAAACCTTCCGGTAAATAAAACATACGTAATTATTATTATTATTATTATTATTGCGATAGATAAATTAAATTTTTTTTTTTTTATTATTAGTTTCCTGGAATTTTATGGAATTATATATATAATAAATTCGAAAGAAAAATGACCGCATTGATAATAAAATTACCTGGAATTCGTTGGAAAATGATTTCGTTTTCCCACCCCCCACCTCCCGTCTCATTTTTCCAAAAATTTCTCCAGATGATTAAAAAAAAAAAAAATCGTAACAAATTTTTTACTTTTTTTTGTTCCAAATAATAATAATAATAATAATAATAATAATAATAATAATAATAATAATATTGTTAAATGACAACAAAAAACCGGAAATATAAATAAATTTTTAAATTATTTATCATAATTGATCGTGTCAGCATCTTTTATTATTGTCAGTGTCAGCAGACTATATTTTACGTTTAAAAAAAAAAAAACAAAAAACATTTTTTTTTTAAAAGTCAGCACAAAAACATTTTTAAAACTTTCGTGTTTTTGTTTTTATAAAAAAAAAAAAAAAAAAAAATCAACAACAGCAGGATGTAACCAACAGGATTTTCTTAATTTTTGTTTTCAATTAAATTTCCTCTCCCCCGCCTCCCTTCTCCCTCTCTCGTCCCCTCTTTATTCTCTTAATAAAAATTTTACCGTCGTTTTGTTGTTTTTTTTTTTTTTGTTTAAAAACTAAAATGAAAGAATGAAAAAATTTATTAATAAATTTAATAGGAAAAAAAAGAGAGAGAGAGAGGGAAGAGAACAATTTAAAAAAATAAAAGTAATAATAATAATAATAATAATAATTGAAACCTAAAGTGTCAGGTAGGTACCATCTGTGTGAATGTTTTTGTTATTAATAACAGGTTTAATATTATGATTAATTAAAATAATAGTAGAAAGGTAAACCCTAAAATGGTTTAATGGCTAGAAAACTGGACACGTGAATGTGGGGGAGGGCGGAGGGGAAAACAAGGAAAGGATTTTTTTTTGTTTTTTTCTCCCCTCCCTTCCGCTCCTCTCCTCTCTTTCCCGGTTTTAATTTCCACAGAACACCTGAGTCTTTTACTACCACCACAGTACACAGTCTTTAATTAAAAAAAAAAAAAAACAAACAACAACGACAAAAAAAATAAAAAAATAAAATGAATAAAAAAAAACTTTTTTTTTATTTAAAAAAAATTCAAAATTTTAATCTATTTCCGGTTTATTTTTTTTTTTAGAGAGAGAAATAAAAAATAATTTTTAATATTTCATTTTTCTTTTGTTGAATAATTTTATTTTTTCTTTTTTTTTAATCAAGAGTTAAAAAAAAAAAAAAAAGGAGAAAATTCTTTTTTCTTATTTCTCGTTTTTTCATTATTATTTTATCCATCCCGTTCTCTCTCTCTCTCTCCCTCCCCCTTCCCTCATCTTTCTCACTCTCTCTTTTTCTGTTTTCTGCTTTTCATTTTACTTCCTTCCTTCCTTCCCTTTTCCCAACCATTTTTGATTTTGTTTAATGCTTTTATTACCTGAGTCGAATAAACTCGGATTTTCTGAGTCATTAATGACAAATACTAAGCAAAACATTAAACTTTTATTTATTTCAAAAACTAAAAGATTTCAAAAAAAAAAAAATTAAAATTGCCTCATTAACTAAACAAACTTTCTGTTTTTCCTCTCTCTCTCTCTCTTTTACTGAGAGAGAGACAGAGAGAGAGAGAAAGGGAAAAATGAAAAACATAATAATTATTATTTTTTTTTTTTTTTGAAAATTTTATTTAACTAAAAAAAATCAAAAATCAATTTAATTTTTTTTCTGTT